GCACTGAAAGGAGTGCAGGGGAAAGAGTATATTTATTAAGTTAGGCTAGGCTTTGCTGAAATGATTGTTAAGTTCCCAAATTTCAGCAGGTCAGATGCTGCTCATTTCCTCCATGTCAGGACTCAGGGTCTAGGTTCCCTCCATCTTTGGTGTCATCATTTCAACATTTGACTTTCAGAATCACCAGGGCAAGGAAAGAGTGAGCTTAAGGATTACACACTGGAAGTCCTCATCCTGGAAATGGCCTGTGCCAGGTCTGCTTGCCTTTCATTATGAAGGATGGCTATACAGCCTCGACTAACTGAAAGGGATCTGTGGATTGAGGGCAGCACCAGGAATACTCTTGTCTCAGACATCATGGTACAGCACAGGACTAGCAGGGCTCAGGGACTCACATAAGAAAGGATCTCTCACCAGGGGCAATACATATGACCACATGGACAGTGGCCTCTGCAACCCAGATACACATTTACAATTTGTACAGGATTTCTCTTTCTTACTCTTGGGAACAGGGGAAGGGCTACCCAGAAGTTACTCATGAGTGGCTTCATTGAGGCACGGAGGTCTATCCACTTTTACACCAATACTCCCTCCCAGCGAGAGGTCGCTTCTCCCAGAGCTTAGCCCCTTCTGTTTCACCAAGTTTCTTAAGAAGCTTATTTTCCTATGTGTCAGCCTCCCTTGCATGGATTCAGGGAAACAATTAGATAAGCATAATAGAAAGGTTCATTCTACAATTAAACCAAGAGAGCTGAGGCCCCCTGGTGGCTACACATGGTAGTAACCACAGCCCTTCCAGAGGTTTGAGGAAATAAGGGAGGTGAAGTCCCAGAGCTAGGAAGTTGGGGTCCATAGTCCCTTCTGTCTGGATTGTTCCTCCATATTCCAGATGAGAAAGTTGAGGATCAGAGGCTGAAACACATGCCCAAGTAGCTCGTGTTGGAGCTCTAATCTAGATCTTCAGGTTCGTAGTCAGGTGCCCTCCTGCATAGGTTCATAGTTAAAATACACTGTGCTACAATCTATCACTGAGAGAGAAACCTAGAGTTAGTAGAGCATTCTCCCTATTCCTGTACATCCATAGTAAGGGTGGGGATATTGTTAGAAGATGCTATAGCTATTACAGGGAAGATTCCTACATAAATTTTAAATGCCCAGCAAAAGTGAAGAGAAAATATGGAAACTGAAAATCAGAAATCCAGCACCCTTCCCTTTGTGACACTTAGCCACATTGTTGGTGACATACTGCATGCTATAGATGAAGGCAGGCTTATGTCTACAATGTTAGGCGGAATTCTGACTGGCTTGAGGTTAGGCAGTAGAGAAGATGTTTCTGCCCTCCCTCTATCCTCTCTTGGAGAAAGAGTTTGCTGGGGTGGTAGTGGAAGAGTCTTCAAGGGTACGTAAAAATGTATATCCCTTAAATAGAATAAATGCATGAAGGATTTGGAACCAAACACACAAACTCTGATGCAATTTCCCATATAGAGCAGAACTCCCTCTACTTCATCCCTGACAGGAGGTCATTCATTCACTCCATATAAACAGCTTTAGTAACAGGTAAGGAGCTCACGCTCTCAAAAGATAGCCTACTGCATTTTCAGCTCTGTTTATTACAAATATAAGCCCCTACAGGAATTTTACTCCATTCCAGCATTGGATAGCCCAGCGAGTGAGTGCATATGGTCAAGCCTGACACCTGAGGACCACCAAATTCTTCATTTCATATACTTTTCCTTAGAAATAGTGAGAATCAGGAGATGGAGGGAGCAGAAGGAAAGTTTTCTATACCTCTTTTGTGACCCATGAGATGAGGGACATGCACTTATAGGATAATGCCCTTCCAAACATAATTGGGCTCAGAGGTGTCAGCTTGATATGTGTGTAGGCTACAAGGCTAAGGCTGCTTACTTCTAGATAACCATTATCCCAAAGTGGTAGCCACTTAAGGTCTCAGCTGAAAGTAGCATGAAGCCCTTGAACTCTTGACTTTTGTCCTTGTCCTCTTTGCTAGTGATGCCACCGAAACTGCAGCTCAATTTCACAATTTTTTTTTCCAGATTCAGAAAATACCCTCAGAGGAAAAAGTGGCTTCTAGTGTGAGGCTTCCCTATCTGGGTTCTTATCTTCTAGATTTTAGCCTAGAAAATGATGCAAAAATGACGCTTTTGCTCTATATTTCAGCCAATTCATTTAGTGCTCTCAGCAGAATATCTAGTCCAAACTACCTAGCCAGCCATTACCAGAGCAGAGGTGTGCAACCCCCTCCTAACCACTATCCTGTCCCCAGTCCCTCTTCCTTCAAGCTTCTCCTTCCCAAAGTCATTGAGAGATCCTTCCAAGGTGCAGCTCCAATTGTGTCATTCCCTTGCACAAATCCTTCAAAAGCTCACTGTTGCCTCTAAAATAAAGTAAAATTCCCCCAGATTGAACAATTAGGTCCCAAATTCTTTTTCTTACTTCATTTATTCCTTAGACAAGTATTTATTGTGTGCTGAGTGTGTGACACTCACTAGGGTAGATTCTTCCTAATCTCTCACCTCTTACCTCTTTGACCCCTTGTCTTACTTCCAAACTTGCTCTACCCTCCAACTGAACAGGAACATTCTCTGTCAAGGGGCAAAGCTGGGTCAATTTCCAGATTAGTGCTCTTTCCCCCTAATCCCATATTCAGGTTTAAACTTATTCAATATCAATATTTATGGATATTCTAATAAATTAACTACACAAATGCTCAAAAAGTATAAATTATGGTGGAATTTTTGTATTTCTTATTGTATTTTGGGCTATTTTTGCTTTGTGAGTTAGAATTTTCAACAAGCATTACCTCTAAGGAGAGCAGAAATAAGGGAGAACCCTCTGAGGATAAGTTCTAGAAGTGAATTCATCATCAACATCATCATTTTGGCCATCTCCATTGTCATGAGGATACCTAGAAACCAAACTTCAGGCTTCAGGTTCGTTTTCCCTGACAAATGAGGGAAAAAACAAATGCCTGTGGAATTTGACTTCTGGTGCTGGAAATATCTTGGATCCAAACAAATCTACTCCCACCTACTGGTGATTGCCTGAACTTACAGTCAAAGTGGACTTAACTGAAAAACTGTTCTTGTATTAGGCAAACCTGAAAATAGGGTTTCTAGTTTTGGCTTCTGCTACTATGTGACCTTCCTTCTCTGGGCCTCAGTTTCCCTTTATTACAATCCAGGTGGTTGTTCAAAATGACCTGGAATGGCTCTATTATAATATTTCGGGTAAGCAAGGATTGTACAAGGACAAGAGTGTACAAGGACATTTGGGTGACCAGAGATGATGAGAGCATGACTAATTGCTGCAGGGGTTGGTCTGCTCTTGTATGTGATAGTCAGTGGCACATGGGCCCCATTACTTTTTTTCTTGTTGCAATGGCACGGGAAAGAGAAGTAAAAGAAAGGTGTGAGGGTGCTCTGCTACTTAAAAAATAAAGGCAGGAAACTATGAGACATATTGTTTTCTAAGTTTGATTCTAAAATGGCTTTAAAAGGGGGAGGGTAAAGAGTTAAACACTCAGCCATGCATCACCAGGCAAGTGAAGATTTTCAGGGCTCAAGTAATTCCAACTCATTTCACCAGATATAGAGGGAAAGTGGAAAGGATCATGTGCTTCAGCTTGGATGTTCTAGTTAAACAAGAGTGAGCTTGAAATCCATTTTGATTGCAACTTTTCTCAATTGTATGATTTGGGAGGTGCGCTGCTGGTGAACATGAGTGAGCCCTATTTGTTGATTCCTTATCTGGCCCATGGACTCTGGTGAGGCCTCCTCCTGAACTTGCTTTGTCATGGGATGGAAAGGACAGAGCGGTTTAGGTGGAGGCATTCCGTATCGTCTAAGATCCCTTCTGGTTCATAGGGGAAGTGATCTGGGCAATAGAATAAGAGCCCTCTAGTCAAAATGTCAGGCTTTTCCATATGATGGGACAAGACCTCAGGAGCACTGACACCACCTAGTCTCCAGGGGCTAACTTCCTTGAACATCCCAGTGACCTTTGTCTTCTGTTCCCCTTCCATGGCGTCAGCCCTAGACCCTCACTTCAACTCTGTATCCCCTGAATAATGGAACAGTGTCACATCTTAGGGACATCTCAACTGGAGAACCCTGAGTTCTTCCTGGGAACTCAAACTTGGGGCAAAAAGCACTCTGGGAAATTTAAGTTTTCAAGCAACTCTTGGGTTCCTAGAGCCCAATTTCCATCCTGAAGGAGAAACAAGACTGCTGTGGCCAGAGCCTGGTCACAAAACCCATTGGTGACTCCCCTTTACCCCTCCCAGAGGTGAGGCACGCAGTGTTACAACAAGCTAAAGGGTCTGGGAATGAGCAGCAGTTGAGCGCCTCCTGATCACCCTTAAGTGCTTAGGTCTTTCGGAATGCAGATTCAGCCACAGCAGTCAGATCATCACTCTTGGACACTGGCTCTTCCAAGAAAAACGCACATTTTTCATTTTGCCCAGAAGAGGACCACGACCGAGCTCCCTGGGCCTCAGACCTCCGCCTAGCTTTCCAGGAGCTAGCCCTCCTCCTTCTCCCCAGGCCCGGCCCCGCCCGCACCCGCGTCTGGAGCTGGCCAGGGGAGGACTGCAGAGGCCTGAAGGGGCGGGGGCCGGGAGGCGCGCGGGCTGCGGGCGGAGGCAGGAGCGCGCGCCTTTTTGTGCGGCTGTTGGCACCCGCCCGATTGGCTGGGCCGGTGCTGCCGTCGGAGTGGGCGGAGCCAGCCGCGCGCGCGCCGCTCGGAGCCCAGTCGCAGCCCGGAGCGGCCGCAGACGGAGCGCACCTCGCGGGGGCCGGGTGCGTCCGGGGGGCAGCTGCTCCTCTCGGACCCCGGCCATCCCTGCTCCCACTGCCCTCGCTGCTTTCTTTTTAGAGGAGACTCTTTGCGGAAAAGCCAGCGATCCCTCTCAGACCCACTCCCCACCCCACTCCTGCCCCTTTCCGTGGCGGCGTCTCCCGCGCCCTCCGGCCCCCAGAGCGCCGCGGCCATGGGCATCCGAGGCATGCTGCGGGCCGCCGTGCTCCTGCTGCTCATTAGGACCTGGCTCGCGGAGGGAAACTACCCCACTCCCACTCCCCTCCCAAAATTCCACTTCGAGTTCCCCTCCGCGGTGCCCGACGTTGTTCGGAACCTCTTCAACTGGTAAGCAGGCACCGCCAGGTTAGGCACGAGAGGGAATTGGTGAGGGTAGAGAACCTCTGGCCTCTTGGACAGAGCGGGCTGGGGGAGGGGGACTCGGACCCGGCCCCGCTGAGCTCGGGCGCTGGTCCCAGGGAGGGGGCAGGGGAAGTGTGGGTGGCAGTTGAGATGGAGTCCTAGTTTCAGCCCACCTGTTACTGCGGCTCCTGGCTGCGCCCTAATCCTTGCCCAAACCGCAGCACAGGAGGGTGTCCTCACCCCGGGTATGCCCATCCATCCCCAGGGACTAAGGTTCCAGGCAGCTTTCCCCAGTCGAGTCCTTTGTCACCTGTGACATGGGGGAGGGTACAAGGTGATGAGCAATTCACAAAACATAGACAGGACACCTGTTTGAGTCTGCATTTTTGTACGTTCACTGAGGCGCGCTCGCTAGTGTGCATACATGTATGTTTTGAGGAGTGAAGGACTCTCCGATGCGGCAGACAGAAATTATTAACTCAACCTCATCTAAGCCCAGAATGTGATCGGCGGCTGTATAACCATAAACCGTGTAGCCGGAGATGGGTGCGCTTTTGTACTTATTCCTGTAAAAATAATTGAAGATTCAGGATGGTATTTTTTTCTGTGTTTGATTTCAAGTTTGTTTGGGTCTGTGAGTATCTGAAAAAATGTTAAACAGTCAGCCTTTATGTGTAGATCACACAAAAATGTTTATTTGTGGTAGTCAGAGATCTTGAATGTTGGCACATGGGGAATGTGTGGTCAGAAACAGGCGGGAATGCATTATTTTAATTTGGGAATAATTCATGTGCACACTTTGGAATGTTGCAAAATGACATTTTTTATTAAAGATGATTGGGAATCATTTTTAATAATTTTTAAACAGCAAACCAGAAATGAACGTGTATTCAGAAAAGGGGGGGTAGCTGGGCACGATTCCAGCAGACAGCCCTGCAGTGCCCTCAACTCAACATACTAGACTGCGTCAGTGAACACACATGCGAGCACAAGAGTGCGCAAGCGCATGCACACACACACACACACACACACACACACACAGCCTTGCAGGGGGCTGACGTTCCCTGGGCAATGCGTCAAAGATTCAATTGGAAGAGTCACAGTGATACCAGGGCCTGTTCTCTTTCACAAGCCCTTTTGGGGAAAGGAGCCCTGTTGAAGGTCTAGGTGAGGCAGGATGAGAAGAGATCTCTGGAAAGGCCAGCTCTCTGCAGAGCTGACCTGGGTCCACTTACATGTGCTCACCTAAGACACTTCCAGGCAGGAAGCACATGCTTAGCAAGAAAGATGCCTGTTCCCAAAATGGATGTATTTTCGAGGACAGCTCTGAGCCCCAAGAGTCTGAAATGGTTTGGTTAGATGAGGGTCATAAATCTCTGCTAGGTGAGCCAGGCTCTCTCTGCTTCATATGCCATATGCCAAGTCTTAAAAACAGGTGTACAAAAACAAGGTTGACATAAACATGGCAAGAAAATGTCCAGCCCTAGCCCTGGTAGGAGAAATGAGCTAGAGAACATTGGCTTAGCTCAGGAAGGCACTGAGAATGGATGTTGACTTTTCCTGGGGTAATGAGGTACCCCTAGAAAGAAGACCCCACCACCAACAACAACCTAGAAAGCCTCATCCAGGCTGATTGCAAGATGGAACTCCTTAGGGGGTTGAGGTAATGCATTTTTGAAGGCTCCTTCCTGCCCACTCTTTCCCATCTCCTTCTACTGCCTCCCCCCTCCCACCAAGTCCTGCCTGGTAACAGAGTCAGCCTTTGTGCCCCACCCTCTGGATAAAAACTGGGAGGGGGAGAGGGAAAAAGGAGTCTGCGTCAGTGCTGCACTTCTGGCTGACTCACCCTGGGGAGGGAGGGGAGCAGGGAGAGTGTGGTACACGTATGACTGGACATGTCTGCATATGTTCTGGAGAAAGGAAGGCCCTTGTAAGGTGGCCACTGACAAATCAGCCACAAGTCAACCAGAATTTACTGATGACTTCTCTGTTTCAGCAAAAATTGTGCAAATGAATCTGTGGTTCAAAAGATTCTGGACAGGGTGCTGTCGGGTTATGATGTCCGTCTGAGACCGAATTTTGGAGGTAAGCCATATCAGACATTAGAGGTCTTTGTGTCAGGTAGAATAAAGCTGAGACACAGCAAGCCAGCCCTACCCTATAAAGCCATCAGTAGCACTCCCCAGTTCTACATCCCTGCCTCTCTAGGTCTCTCCTTCCTGATCCTGCAGAGACCTGCGGGAGGGGGGGGACTCCCAGGCTCCCAGTCTCTGGGTATTCTGTTTCCCTGGGATTTCTCCTACTTCTCTGCCTTCATATGCCTGAGACCCCTGTTTTCTCAGCACTTCTTTCCAATGTGTGACTGGAAAAGGAGCACAGGCAGTGGATGAGCAGGATGTAGCACACTGTGCCCCTCAGGCTAGAGTTCTAGAGTTTTCTATCCCTTCTCTGTGGAAGACACATGTTTTGGGCACTTACCCCACTCCCCAGTTCACAACTGAGGGTCCAGTTCCCTACTGAGGACTTGGTCTTCTCTGCCTAGTACACTTAACCCACCCAGCAGTTCCACCTTGGTTCTTCCTTCCCCACTCCATGTAGCTCACTGCAGTCGGTGTGGTCTTTATAAATCCAGCCTGAGCACTTCTGGAACATTCCATGGTTTTATCTAACTGCCAAATAAAATCTAAACTCCTCAGCTTTAGCACTCAGACCTCTAGCACAGAGATTGTAAATAACAAGGAAACTGACACCCAAACCTGCAAGAAGTCCATACATATGTCAGTTTCTCCCTAGATTTCTGCTTAACCTCCCCCTGAGAAAGGACAACTAGCCTGGACCGTAGGGCTTTAAGTGATAGGCAACCTGTTTAGGCCCCACACCATAGAAGCAGCATTCTCTGGCCCTGGGGACACCCAGAAAACCTCACTGAGGATAGACAGAAAAAGGGGCAATAAAGCTGGTTAGTCACATTCCAGCTCAAAGGAAGCTTATGGAGGGACTAAGCCAAAGTAAGGGCCCAACTTCTTGGGGGGAAGTGTCAAAGTAACCTCTAAAGGGTTAATGAATGCTAATGGTCATATTCTGCATATGAATATGTGTCTCTGAATACACTCCCCTCCACTGGGAGGGCACACAGCTGGGAGGATTGGCTGGGGTGGTAGGGAGCTGCCTGGAAAAGAAGCTTTGGAGGTGGGGCCCTTGACTAGTGCTTCCCTTTGCTGGGTTACTTTCCTCCCCCCATCCCTCAGGAATGGAGTGGGGGGGAAGGTGCTGCCCCAGGGATTTAAGGTGAATGTGTGAGGGGAAGCTGGCTCACTCCCTGTAAGAGCAGTGCCTCTTCTCTGGATGGGTCCCCTAGGGAGAGAGACATGAGTATAGGGGGGTCCAGGTGTTAGAGGACAGCCAGCACACCCTTGCATGGCATCAGCTTTTAAATCAGTCGCATGAAGCATCAGTAGCTACTTCATTTTCTCCTGGCCTCATTCTTGTGTTTCTCAGCAAAGGCTGACCAGCAACCATTTGAGTACACCAAGCACATTCTCCACACTGTTTCAGGGTGAGGGTGCCATATCTGCAGGCATCCAGGGATGGGTGACAGGGGCAAGAACCAAACTCTGGGGAGGGTTACCCGGAGATTTGTGGGCATGCAGACTGGGAGTGTACAATAAAACATGGATCCCTAGGTTGATCTGGCCAAATAGAACATGAAGTTGGGAGGGCATGGGCAGCTCAGAGCCTTCTGGCATTTAAACAGAAGAGGGCACTGCAAGCTCTTTGACTGGGACTGTTGCATGGTGGTAGGGTAGGGAGACTAGTTGAGGAGACAACTGGACCAGGGCATTCAGGGTTTAGAGACCCCAGAAGTCAGCTATACAGCCCCTCCATGTCTGAGGTAGAGTCAAATTCTAGGGCTTAACCCCCCTCCCCAACAAATGCTCCCCACACAAGGGTGTCACTTAGCAGTGGTCCGGTTCAACAGGAGCCTACCTATTTCTGGTGGACTACAGTGAGAAAAGGAGGAAAATTTATAAAACCACTTCCTACTGCCAAGAGAACTGGGATTCTGCGGTGTTGCAAAGTGGTCTTCACTTAGCCCAGCCCCTGGCATGATGTCAGCTCCCAGTATTGTGGCGTGAAGGAATGGTAGACATTCTCATCCATCCATGTGCTCTTTCCCCAGCACTATGATGGATGCTGGGGGGGAGGAGGAATTGGGGCAACGAAGGTTCCAGGAGGGAAGGATGTGATTATCACCACCATTTTTCCTGTCTTCCTGAGTCCATCAGGGGAAAGTGATGAGATAGATATAGGGCTGGGGCCGTCAGCCCAGAGATGGCATTTAGAGTCCTTGTCAGGAAGTTTCTCATTCCCCTCTATTCTTTTAGGGCTATGGGATACCTTACTAAATTCTCATCATAGTATTAGCATGTAAGGTGTCCCCTTAGGTGGATAAATTAGGAGAATGTCCCCTTCCTCTGGGCTGCAGTCCTGTGCCAGGTCTCATGACTTGGTGAGAAAAATGTGAACTGCATTTTAGTTCCCACCTAGAACCCTTGGACAGATTTCTGGCCTGGCCCTTTAGTGTCCCCAGCATCCATCTCACCATAAGAGGTGGGATGCCTGAGTGGTGTGGAATAGTGTAGACAAGAAGTCCAACACTGGAAGTGGGAGGCTGGCTGGGGCTTGTTGCTTCCATCCTCTAAAGACGTGGGGGTCCAGAGGGACCATCATCAAGAACTGTGTTTCTCAGAACCCCTAGCATCACATAGCACTTTCTGGGGCTTGTTCACAGTAGCCCTGAACTGAAGTCTGGGCTGTCCCCTAACACAGAGGCACATTTACTTCTCAGCTGCCACTCACACGTTTATTCCCAGTAGTGCTTTGCTTTGTGAAGCATTGGGCTTAGAATTACATTTCCCTCTTTGCAGCTCAGCTTCTGGGCAGTAAGCCTTCAGTGAAAGCAGCAGGCTGAATTGCAGGCGTCATCCGTGTTTCTCTAGCAGCACTGTGATGTCATACACAGACATGATGGCTTTGCCGTGGGACTGCGTGTAGATTGGTTTGAGCCAATGAGGGAACAATAAAATGTATTTGTCCTCAGTCCCTGACAGTTGACTACATGCTTTCACATCCATGGTCATATCTGAGTCCTGCAAGTGAACAGCACTATCATCTGGGCCTAACAAAAGGCTAGGAAGCAAAAACACTAATGCACCCATTCACACTTGTACATTCACATACGCTCTCACACGTGCACAAAAATGCACTCCAACAAGCATGGTCTCACGTGCACTACACTCACGTTAGCAGCCCTACACACAGTCAGCATCTTCACATGAACATGCATACACAAAAATGAGTATAAACTCATTCACACATGCACACACATACACTCACATTGACTCATTAACACACTGACGTGGTTAACACACTCATAGAGTTATGAGTCACACAATAACATACCCAACACATAGTCACACAGCCATGCAGATAAATACCCACACATATAGTCACACAGCCACACAAACTTCCGTACCCAAATGTATTCATAAATTTACTCTCACACTTTAGCACACACACACAAACATGCTCACATGAAAGAACACACTCAAATTCACTCACATGAACACAGACACACACAAGCATGCTTGCACACCCAAAAGCACTCACAAGTTCACTCCGAGTCAGGAAGACACACATTGTCCTCACACAGCATGCTCACGTGTACACAAATTCACTGACTTGTTGATACGAACAAGCACATTGACAAGCTTTGGCTTTCACTCCCGAACATTCTCACAAATCCCAGCAGGCTGACGTTCACACTTAGACACACAAGTGCTCACACCATTTTCACATCAGACAATACACAAACATGCTCACATATACACACGTTCACACACATGAACGTGCCCACATATTCACTCAGGCATGCTCACAGATACACTAATTCACAAATGGGCTCACACATACACATATTCACTCCCATACACATACATTCAAATACGTGCACACACACACATTTACTGACACAGACATGTACACACATTCATGTACCTGGAAACCTGCCCATCCACTCACTGACCGACAAATACACTTGCATACATTCACGTGTTTACTCACACTTCCACAAGAACACACTCATACTTGTGGGTATGCTCATGCATTCAGTTCCACAAAACACACTCACACAGAGACACGTTCACATGAACTCATACAGACAAGCTCACAGACATCCATAGTCACTCCCTTGTTACACATGAACATGCATTTGCCCCCCCACAACACGCCTACAAAAATGCATGTGCTCACACACAACACACTCAAGTACAGAAACACGCTCGCGTGTTCACTTGCACAGAGAAATGTCACTAACACAGTCACCTACACGTGAAAACAAATTCATTCACACAGGGGCATGCTCACACAATAACACAGCCACAAACCCTGGCTTTTGTTGGGTCCATTTCTTGTCAGTTTTTATCAGAACATATTTAGAAAAAGAGCATTTCATCCCCTTATTTCCTGACCCCTCCTTTCAGCATATTGTGGGTCCAGCCTTGCTCTAAGTGCTTGACCTGCATTGACTATGAGGTCAATGCTGTCATTATCCCCATCTTACCCATGAGGAAACTAAGGCTCAGAGAGGTTAGGTGACTTACTTAAGGTCACTCAGCTAACAAGTGTCAAAGTGGGTTTAAAGCCAAGCAGTCTGTCTCCTGAGTCTGCTCTTAACCCTTACTCTACCCTTTACATAATACTGTCTTTCTGTGTTGTAGGTGCCCCTGTGCCTGTAAGAATATCCATGTATGTCTCCCACATTGAACAGATATCAGAAATTGATATGGTAAGTGTGTCAGTTCCAGCATGGGGCTGGAGACAGGAGCCATGGAACACAGAGCAGGGCCATAAGCCAATTCCAGCTATTCTGACCTGTGACAGAACTTACATGGAGGAACAAGGTAGATTTTGGAAACTGCAGCCACCTAGAACAAAAATGTTATTTGAAGCCCTACATCAAGGTTAGGAAGCTTTTCAAATACCATATAGGACTCTGTTTCTTGTACTAGGTAAGGATTTCTTTTAAAAGACACAAAAGGCCAGGTACAGTGGCTCACACCTATAATCCTAGCACTCTAGGAGGCTGAAGCCATTGGATTGCTTGAGCTTACAAGTTTGAGACCAACCTGAGCAAAAGCAAAACCCTGTCTCTACTAAAAATAGGGGAAAAAATGAAGCAAGAGGATCACTTGAGCCCAAGAGTTGGAGGTTTCTGTGGGCTATGATGCCACAACACTCTTCCCAGAGCAACAGCATGAGACTCTGTCTCGAAAAGGATAAAAGACACAGAAAACACATACCATAAAGATAAATACTGTAACTTCAACTACATGAAAATTCTGTTTAGCCAAAATTTCTGCAACTTTTATTGTGCAAAACAAAACTACTTTGACAAGTGTAAAAGAATAAGTTGGAATAGGCTGAGATATTTACAATACAGAGGACTGATACTTGAAATATAAATAATTTCTGAGAATTATTAAGAAGAGCATTTAAAAAGCTGATAGAAAATGTTCAGAAATGTGAAGAGGAATTTCACTTTAGTGAAGAAAACTAAATAGCAGGTAAACATACGAAACGTATGAAAAGATGCTTGACCTTATGAGAAATGCAAAGTAAAACCACCATTAGAACCCATCATGTACTCACCAAATTGGCAAAAATCTGAAGTCCAGACAATACCAATCAATGCAAGTCAGTGGGAAGCACTGGAACCCTCAGCCACTCTCAACCCTTGGGTCTCGGCAGGGGCGGAAACTGTAGCTTCCTTCCACTTCATTTTTATTTCACTGTGGTTTGGATATGTATGGTGCATTCACCCAATAATACACACAGTATACTCTATTATCCAGGAACGCAAATGAACAAATTATAATTATGTATGTCAACCGGAATGAATCTCACAAATACAATGTTGCATGAAAGAAGTAAATTATGAATACGTGCAGTATGATTCCATTGGGATAAAATTCTTATAGAAAGGTCTAACTAAGCAATATTTTTCTAGGAATACATAGACAATAAAACTCTAACAAAAAGCAAGAAAATTATTCATCATTAAGTCTAGGATAATGGTTATGGCTGAGGGGTATGGGACATGTGTTCTGGAAGGGACACATTGGGGTTTGAAAGTTATTTGTAATGCTCTGCTTCTTAACCTGGACTTTAATTCCATGAGGGCCATTTGATTATTCTTTCCTTAACCATCCATATGTTTCACACTGTCATCTCTAGTTATTATATATTTAACTACATTTGCACACACACACACACACACACATATACACACACATGCACAATGGGGACAGAGCTGGAACAAGCAAACTTACAACTGGGATTTATCTTTCTCTTCCCAGGACTATACAATCACCATGTTTTTTCATCAGACCTGGAAAGATCCACGCTTAGCATACTATGAGACCGACCTGAACCTGACCCTGGACTATCGGATGCATGAGAAGCTGTGGGTCCCTGACTGCTACTTTCTGAATAGCAAGGATGCTTTTGTGCATGATGTGACTGTGGAAAACCGTGTGTTTCAGCTTCACCCAGATGGAACGGTGCGGTATGGCATCCGGTAAGTCACCCTAGCAGTTTGGGGATGTCCCACCAGGCTTCCTTCTTCCTACCCAGTATCCCATGAACACTGTCTTGTGTTGTGCCCCTTGCCCATCCTCCCCAGTAGCCAAAGTGGAACTTTCAATTCCCCACAAGTAATAGTGGCTGTCCTTTCTCCACTGTTCCTTCTGTGTAAGGTGGCCTTTTCCTCTTTCCATGAATTAAATTTTTTTTTTTTTTTTAGACTGAGCCTCAAGCTGTCCCCCTGGGTAGAGTGCCGTAGCATCACAGGTCACAGCAACCTCCAACTCCTGGGCTCAAGCGAGGCTCCTGCCTCAGCCTCCCAAGTAGCTGGGACCACAGGCGCCCACCACAACGCCTGGCCATTTTTTGGTTACAGCCGTCGTTGTTGTTTGGCGGGCCCGGGCTGGATCTGAACCTGCCACCTTAGGTGTATGTAGCGGGTGCCCCAGCCACTTGAGCCACAGGCGCTGAGCCAATGAATTGAAAACTTGCCCACCTTCCCTTCAAACCCTAACTCGAATGCCCTCTGAAAGACCTCTCTCTCTACCTGAGCACTGCAGACATTGGGAGGGAAATAGACAAGTGCTTAGTCCCATGCAGTACAGGAAGGGCATGGTCTCTGCCATTCAGTTCACTTGTCCAGTTTTTCCAAGTCTGATCTCTGGGTTTCTCTTTATCTGGGGCATCTCATTCCATCCCTGTCTTTCCCCAACCACTTTCCCATAAACCAAGGCTCTAAAGTCAGACAATAATAAGGCCTGCTGGGAACAGGTCACTGGTCACTCTTGTGCTTTAGAAAGGGGGGGTGTCAGCTGATTAATGTCACATAGAGGATTTGTAGCAAGGAGAGAAACACAAGGACATGAACACGCACACACACCAAATCCAGTGCACAAAATGGCAATTGCACAAAATAACTGGGGTAGAGTTAGGAGACGGGAAGGACACAGTAAGAGGTAGGACAGAGCCTCCCAGCTGACGCTGCAGAGAGCTTTTTTGTCATTATCCACTCTCCCATTTGTCACTTTTCCCACCTCCCCAGGGCTTCTCAGACCCCTCCTCAGATTCTCCTGCTGGTTGCACCACACAGCACCTTGAAGCCCATGCCCGCGTTTCCATGGCACTACAGAGATTTCAGTCTCCCCCGTGTCTCATCCACCCACTGGCGTTTTGTTCATCCCCAGTACCCACATTGGCCCACACCTCAGGCATGTGGTACAGATATGGGTAGAGGTGATTCTGGGGCAAGGCTGTCATCTGTACACATGCACTGCACAGCTGTGCTCCACATGGGATGGGGAGTGTTCTCTCAGCAGCCTTGCTCCCCCTTTAGGAAGCGAGAGTCCCTTCCAGTCTCTGCATTCACTTTCCGCAAGGGCCTTCCCCTTCTGGCACCCTGCATTTTTCTGACGAGCCATACATTATTCAGTCCTGCCAGGTCTTTTGGTATCTTTGTCACATTCACATTCCCTGTGTCCTCCCTACACATGGGTTGCTCCTTGGGGTCACTCTTCCCTCCCCAGTCCTGCAGTTCTCTCAGGAATGCTGCTAGTCTGGGCCAAGCTCACTTTTTCCTTCCATTTTGTTTTCCTTTGCAGACTCACTGCCACAGCAGCTTGTACCCTGGATCTGCGAAAATTCCCTCTGGATAAGCAGACCTGCAAGCTGGAGGTGGAGAGCTGTACGTATGTCCCTATGGCCCCTTCTTCCCTACTTGGGCTGTGGCAATCAGGAAACCAAAGGCAGAAATGACAGGAAGAAGAACAGCACATTTCTCCTCTCTCTTCCTCCTCATTCTATTTCTCATAAATAGATGGTAGAAGGAAAGATAGATGGTAGACACCTGATGACAGGTGGTTGATTGACTGACAGAGGTATCTGGGAGCAGATGGCCTTTAGGATGTAAGTTGTCCTCTTGGGAAGCAGCACCTCCTGCTGGGAAATTGTGAACAAGCTGGTGGATAGGAGTTCATCATGTGTCTTTACTGTGCTTTCCTGTCTGGCCAAACAAACTTTGGTCTGAAACACCAAAGTGAGAGTTCTTTTTCCCCTGTGTCCAGACTCATCAAACCACAAAGGAGCCTCCAAAATGGCAAGTTCCCACTATCCTTTGGTTTTCACAGACCACTATGGTGGGGAATCTGGCTATGTCCTTTTTCTGAAACTAACTTTCTGTTTCTCTCCCTTTCCCAGATGGCTACACTGTTGAAGATATCCTGTTATCCTGGGAGGACAATGACAGTGCCATCCACATGACTGAGGAGCTGCATATCCCTCAGTTTACTTTCCTAGGGAGGACAATTACTAGCAAGGAGGTGTATTTCTACACAGGTGGGTCTGGCTACTTCCTTCCTTCCTATCTCTTGTCCCTTTTGCACTACCTTAAACTCCTGGGGGCCTCTGCCTTTGATCCTACACTCCCTGCTGCCGCCTTTCCCTTTTCCCACTGGTTCTGCACACCTTCCAGGCCCCCTTAAGAAAGCCCCAATGGCTCCCCCTGCAAGTGAGGAATGGACGTGAAGGATCTTGGCCATGTTCATAACATTCTGCAGTTATAAAAGATCCATGCTCCTCTCAGAGTCAGCCTCTTACCCGCCATCTCTCTCTGGTGTACTCTCTCTGGTGTACAGCTTGGAACCATCTCTTCTCTCTCCCATTCAAAAATGTTAGCTAACATGGAGCCAGGGAGAAAGCAATGGGGAGACAGTTAACTCACTATGACACATGGGCTTGCTGAGATGTGCCATTGTCACTGGCCTCGCCAGGCTAGATGCCCATGGACAGAGTATTAGAGGCTAAACTGCCCATTGGTCACCTACTCCTCCATGCTGTACCTCTCTACCCTGTAAATCCCCTCAGTCCTGCTACCCTGACATCAGTATGTCTCCTTGTCAGGTTCCTACATGCGTCTGATACTCAAGTTCCAGATCCAGAGGGATGTCAACAGCTACCTGGTGCAGGTCTATTGGCCTACTGTCCTCACCACTATTCTTTCCTGGATTTCGTTTTGGATGAACTATGATTCCTCTGCAGCCAGGGTGACAATTGGTAGGTCCTGTCTCTATCCCAGGGAGGAATGTAGGTCATTATCCTGAGACAAAATTTGAGAGTAGGGAAGCAGCATGTGGAGCAGTGTGTGACTGCACAGGCCAGGAGACAGGGCTTTCCAGAAGGCATTTGTGGAGGTGCTCAGACAGTCCCCAGTAGAGAGGCTGACATGGGAATCAAGAGTGAAGAAAACACTAAGATTAGAATCTTGGTATGTTGTGCCCAAAGTACCAGAATTCATTAATTGTTGAATCCATAAGTAAACGGACAAGTCACAGATCTAGATCAGAAATACAATACAATAAATATTGACTTCAGTGAGGTATGAAAACACCTTGCCAGGCAGCAGAGGGCTTCCAGAGACAGAAGCTGTCAGAGTCCAGAGGAGGAAGTGACCCAGGCATTGGCGGCTAAAACTACCCCCAAAAAATTGTTCAAAGTGGGTTTTGAAGATTTGCAGCAGGTAGAGACACCAGCCTTGGCCTTCTCCCTAGAGGAAATAGATGTATTCAAGACATAGGGCCCGAACAGAAATCTGAACCGCAGTTCCTGGGGCAAGAGCAAAGGAGGTGAGGACAACAGCAGAAAGACAGCTTAGGGCAACTTGGGAAGACCTTGAAGTTCATGTTTAAGCATGAGGGGTCATGAAAGATTTTTGAGCAGTACCAAAAAGGGGCCTAAGATAGTGGTTCTCAACCTGTGGGTTGCAATCCCTTTGGGGGTGAAATGACCCTTTCACAGGGGTCACCTAAGACCATCAGAAAACACATATTTCAGTTATGAAGTAACAACACCTGAAGTAGCAACAAAAATAATAATAATTTTGTGGTTGGGGGTCACCACAACATGAGGAACTGTATTAAAGGGTTGCGGCAGTAGGAAGGTTGAGAACCACTGGCCTAAGAGATCGACTCTCTGCTTTGGCTGACCCCATCCAACAGCATGCAGTTGTGCCCCAAGTCCAGGTTTGGTATCTCTTTCGCCATCTTTAGGGCTGACTCCTTACCTTCCTTTTTTTGATCATTCTAGACTAAACCTTTGTATTAAAAAATAAAATAAAATAAATGTTTGTATTTGTGTAATATTTTAGGGTTCATAAATATTCCCAGTGACTAAAGGAAGACAAAAGGGTAAGGGACCATCATAGGGCAAGGTGGGGCTAAAGACAAATCTCTCTGTGAAGCTATGGCAGGGGGTTTGGAACTTGACCCTAGGAACAATGGGATGTCATTGAACCACTAAGCCTAGGCTTGAGTTTTAAGATGGTGGAAGGAACAAAGAGAGCTGAAGGCCTTGGCTGAGGATACTCCCCACCCAGAGATGACTGGGGGCACAATAGCTTGCCAAGAAGGTCAGCCACCAGAGGAGACTAAGCCTGTGCTATGCTATTTGTAGGCCTAACTTCGATGCTCATCCTGACCACAATTGACTCACATCTGCGGGATAAACTCCCTCACATTTCCTATGTCAAGGCCATCGACATCTATATCCTCGTGTGCTTGTTCTTCGTGTTCCTGTCCCTGCTGGAGTATGTCTACATCAACTATCTTTTCTTCAGCCGAGGACCTCGGCACCATCGTAGACGACGAAGGAGGCCACGAAGAGTCATTGCCCACTACCGGTACCAGGAAGTGGTGGTGGGAAACGTGCAGGTTTGACTTTTTGACTGACAATCAGCCTTCCCTGAGCACCTCTCAAGCCCTGGCTTAGTGCTTTTCACCCTTTCACATTTCTTAGTTCCTTTAATCCTCATGCACACACAGAGCACACATCCACATGCACAAGTAACAAGGAAGTGGGACTATTTATCGTCACTCCTTTATAGACGATCATTGTCCGAGGTCACAAGCCAAGTAAATAGCAAGGTTAAATTTCTCCAGACCTTTGGACAAATTTGGTCCACATTGCATGCTTCCAGGGCAGGCAATGAAGCTGGAAGGGAAGATGGGCACAGGGAGGCTGAAAGGAAAACAGACACTGGAGAGGCTGGCCTGCCTACCCCTCCTTCTTTGGCACTTCAGACTCCCAAGGCAATGCTGAGGCTTTGGCAGTATGTTATTTATCCAACAATGTCCCTCCTTCACAGAGAGCCCAGCCTTGCCTGCCTAAGCAGGACTCCATCCACAACACAATGCTCCTGAGGGAGCAGCTGCCCCCAGAGAGACATCAGCTTGGCAGCTGCCATGGCCTCCCCTTGCATGCTAATAGCCTCTTGGTCCTGTTCCTCAGCCCCCTGAACACCAGAGACCCCAAGAGGAGATGGCTCTGTCAAAGAGATCAACAGTAACATTGCAAAAGCTGATGAGGAAAGTCCCTTCCCTCCCCCCCCCATGCATAGCCATCTAGGCCATGTGACACTGATGAGCCTATCCATTATCTCCTCAAAGGATGGCCTGTTTAACGTAGAAGACGGAGTCAGCTCTCTTCCCATCACCCCAGCGCAGGCCCCCTTGGCAAGCCTGGAAAGCCTCGGTTCTTTGATGTCCACCTCCGAGCAGGCCCAGCTGGCCACCTCGGAAAGCCTCAGCCCACTCCCTTCTCTCTCAGGCCAGTCCCAGCTGGCCACTGGAGAAAGCCTGGGTGATCTCCCTTCCACCTCAGAGCAGGCCCAGCTCAGCCATGGTGTTCTATTTCATGGTTTCCGGGATGATGACAGTATTATTCCTACTGAGATCCGCAACCGTGCTGAGGTCCATGGGCATGCTGAGACCGAAGATTCTGAAGACTCCGATGACTCTGATGACTCTGATGAAAGCTTGAGCTCGGATGAGAGCCATGGCCATGGCCAAGGCCCTAGTGGGAGGCCAGTGTTTCACCGTGGCCAGGGGTGTGTGCAAGAAGGAAACCGTGACCTTGATGACATCCATAGCTTACCTGATGACGTCAATGTTGAGAGCAGCTGCCTTGGCCTTAAGGAGAATATCAGGTGTGATACTGATAGCATCTGGAGCCTGGATGATGATGAGCTCATGGCCGGTGGCCAGGAGAAGGATAGTAGCTCAGAGTCTGAGGATAGTCCTCCCCCGAGCCCTGGGTGTGCCTTCACTGAAGTATTTTCCCTCCGTGTCTTTAACCCCGACTACGTCCCTAGGGTTGACAAGTGGTCCCGATTCCTCTTCCCTCTTGCCTTTGGGCTGTTCAATATTGCTTACTGGGTATACCATATCTATTAGTTCTCGGACACCCAGAGCGGCAGGGTCACCATGCCGTGCTCCTTTACAATTTCTTTTGGTTTTGTTTTCCTTTGTTGCCCTTTTTCCTTTGTTCATTTTATTTTGTGGGTTTTGGTCATTCTAATCAGTTTAAAACTTCTCTTTATAAACTCGGGGTGGGGAGTGATTAGAAAAAATGCCTTCTGGCTGAAAGGGAAAGGACTGATGAGGAGTCAGAGGTAAATAGCACATTGATTTCCTTTCCTGCTACAAAGCGCTAGCTCTTTCAAAGACTTCTCACAGTTAGCAAGCAAGGAAAAGCCCCTGGAAAGGTTTAGAGGACAGAAGGGAGCCAGGCTGGGGGACGGGAATGATCTAAGCCTTGCTCACAAACATTTCTGGGGTCTTTTCTGTCCCCCGATGCGTCACCATTTCTTTTTCATGACTTTTTTTCTTCTTTTTTTCCCCCTAGGGATTATGGACCTTGCTCACCCTCTGCTAAGGGCTTAGTCAAGCTGGGTTGGGCTGGGATGCACAAAAGAAGGGCTAGCTATAACTTAGAAGTGCAGGGAACTGGCCATAGGAAACTTAGGGATCATTTGTAAGTGCCTTTTCCCCACTAGTTTTGCCGTATTTAGAGCATGCAGTTTGGGAGGAGAAGATGGGTGGATAAGACTACAGAATACAATGACTGTGTAAGTGACAAAGGACCCAACCAACAAGCTTGCAGTGGGCAGGGGACAATGTCAGGTTGGAGATGATACAGTTGAGCTGGCCTCTTTGGAGGAACTGGAACTTCTCTTGCCTATATTTCTGCTTCAAAGTGCTTCACACTAAGGGCTTAATACATCATACATTTAAGTCAGGAGATAGCTTGCTATCAGCTGATGAGTTGATCAATAATCCCAGTGTAAGCACTTGGTTTATAAACACTAGGGTTAGGAAAGTTCAGACTTGTGATTTCACCATCTGACCTAGACTAGCAGTTGAACATCTCTTGTAAATTTATATACTAGTGCTTTCTATTTGTCTAGTGCATAGTAAGTGTGAACAAGCTCCCTGACTTCATGGTACTGGAGCCTCACAGGAGCCCTGTGAGCCAGGAAAGGCAAAGCACATTGTTCCCAGTGTTGCAAAGAAAACAAGTGGACCTTAGTACCACTTGAGGACATGCAGTGAGTGAGTGGTAAAACCACCCCACTTGCTCCTCCTTCTCCTTATCCTAACTCTCAACCAAAGTATTTCCCTTCCTTCTCTCCCCTTTGCAAAAGAGAGTGCTCCGGCAGAGTCTGCCTCTCTGTCAGGCCCCTAACCCCAATCCACAGCACCTGGGGTGTCTCTGCAGAAACTAGCTGGTGACTAGCCAATGAGCAGATGGAGAACACGGGCACTGCCCACCCAGCAGGGCCCCTAGTGGAAGTAGGACTGGCCTACACTCCAACTTGCCAAGCAGCTCCAGCTCATTGATGGAGGCCATAAGGGAGTGAACTTCACTGAGCACCTCACTTGTACCCTACCTTTTCCTTCTACAGCCTCTCTTGCAGCCCCTCACCCTTCTACCCACCTACCTTTTAGATATGCTTCTGTGTTTGTGTTTCCTTGTACTCCTGGGTGTGTTCATCTGCATCCAGGTAGGTCTATGCACATACAACCATTTGATAAGCTGTGTGGTGCTGTGCCTCTCAGTGTAAATCTATTGCCATGTGTAGGAGTGTATCTGCAACAACCCATGGATTTGTGTATGAGTATGTGTGCGTGCTTGTGTGTATACACGTGGGTGTATGCTGAGTGTAAGTATGTGGCTGTGCACCTGTGTGTACCTCGTTTGAATGAGTATGAAAGGAAATATACAGCATATGTATTCCCTGTTGGGGCCCTTCTAGAAGCACTAGAATTCCCTTGACCTGTTCCCACAGGAGGCTCTGGAGATGACCCTTTGGCTTGGCTGATTAACTGTTCCTTTCCAATTCCCTGTTCCAGGGAGTAGCATCTCCTGGTTCCCTCCCTCCACCCAGCTGTGCTGTCTCCTGGAGAGAAGATCCAGAGGAAGTGAATGTAGCCCAAAGGAGTGATAATTTAGTGCCTTCAGGTAGGAAGTGCTCAGTCCTTGGGATTAGCTGCAAGTGCAGACGGAGTGAACATTTTGCTTTGTCCTGGGGGGACACATTTGGGAGTAACAGGCTGGGGGTGCAGGAGGAGCCTGAAAGATGCATTAAGAACAGAAGTATAGTATAAACAATGGGGTGGGTGGGCCAGCGAACTGGACAGGGAGTTGTCTATGGTCTTTATTCCAATTGCCTTGTAAGACTGACACATGTGTGGCATGTAGTGGCAGCCACAGGCAGGCAGGTGATGTAAAACAGCCCCCATGGACTGTGGTGTTTGTGTTTCTCTCCCCACGAGGGGACAGAAAGCATTTTAGTAGCCCATTCTAGGATGGTTGTTGGCTGCTGCACTCCAGCAATGGGTCTCACATGTTCCACCTTAGACTTAGAAGTCTCCACTTCCACCCTTCCAGGGAAAGTGATAGAAGGGAGAGAGGGAAGTGCAAAGGTGCCCAAGGAACTGCCTGCTTCAATGGGCCCAACCTGTCTCTTCCTCCTTTCTACACAAGCATATAGCCTTTCACACTTAAACACACCCACATGGACCCACACTGTCACCCATGTGTGCAGACACAATCACATATGGCCACACATACTTACATGCACACACACACACACACACACACACACAGAAATCTTACAGGACAATTAAAAGCAAGAAAGTTGCCACCAGACTGTCTTAAGATTGCCTTTTTATTTTTGGACACCTCACAGAAAGATCCAGGTTGATCCAGTAACCTCACATCTAGAGCTCCCAACATGGTAGATGGTTGGCTTCCTGGAGTCTAAGCACTGGTTGATAGACTTGGAGTGGGATCTCCAAGGACCCTGGAAGGGCTTTGAGCCCTGAAGGGGCAAGCAGTTGATTTGGGTTACAGCCATGAAGGGAGATTGGAGCAGTGGGAACAAAAAGAGTTTTAAGATGTATCTGGCCCAATGAACATGAAACCTTCACAGTACAGGGGAAGGGTGGAAAGACCAGTTGTAAATACTCAAGATCCACACAGCTATCATATTATACCTTACAAAGAATATCTTGCCCTAATGTGCTGCAATGAGAGCAGCTGAACTCTGCTGCAACTCGCTTTCTGTAGGTTAAGTGTCAAGGTGAGGTAGAGGTTTGGCAATGACACTTTTTCAAGAACGTGAACCTTTTGAGTTTGCCATGGATTTAGTTGTTTGAGCCTGAAAATTGCCAGATCTCCCCTTATCAAATCTTATATGTGGTCTGTTATGTATGTCATTAAGCCTCATCCTCAGCTGTCCCCAGCCCCTCCCTAGCATCTGACTGCCTCTGTCCCCTCCCTGCCCTCTCCTCACAAGCAACTCTGGAAATATAGAGCATCCAGCTGAGTGGTCCTGGGGTACAGCCCAGGAATCTTTGTCAGCCCCAGCCAATCAATGAAAGAGTGCTTGGTAATTTGGAGCTTGGGCAGCATCTGAGATGGAGTGACCCCCACTTTCCTCCTCTACCCATCTTCCCTCCCATCCACTTTCCCCCTAGAATCCCTTCTGTGCCACAACCACAGGAAGGACACCCCCTGTCTTTCCAAAGTGTCGTTTTGGTGTGGCGATGGGTGACACGTTTCCTACCAAGTTCTTGCCCATTCCATCCACCACTGTGGGGTGCCTTTGCACAGGTCATGGATGATCTGTTGGGACTTAATGGAGCTTGTCAAATGTATTCTTACAATTCTTGTCATCTTGTTAATAGCAGGGCTGCAAAGTCTTTGCATATCTAGAGCTGAGTTTTGCTGAGACTGTAGCTATTCCTAATGAGGTTTCTTTATTCTGTATATACAAAAACTAACCCGTTGAGCTATTAACTAATGAATGCATTTACTAAGCTATCCACCTGCATGGTACCCTGCTGTAGTGATGTGCAGTAACTTTCTAGCTATTCTATAGCCTAACATCAAAGGAAATCGTGACTTGTCCTAGTAAAAGTGCAATATGTTCATGTTTGTTGTATAACGTCCTGTGACCAATGCGAAATCTATATTATCACTGTTGGGGTTTCGGGGTAGGGAGGCGGGAGGGTGTTCATGTATCTCCCTGATACACTTATGAAGTAGCCCCAGTTGGTCAGGGCCACTTCTATTGACTTAATTGGCGGGAGACTTTGTGCCCGCCACCTTGCTGGACTGCATCCCCAGGGTCAGTAGTCATCAGCTGAGCTGAAGGTGCCAAGTCTAGCACCACCTGCCTGACGTCGGGCACTGCCAGCAGATTCTTCAGAGGGCAGACAAGTCAGTGACACTCTAAAAGCAGATGAAGTAGAGTAAAATCACACAAGCACACACGCCTTCAGGAGCGCTGCTGTGTCCAGACTATGAAAACCAAAAAAAGAAGAGGAGGACCAAACCCAGTTGTCCTGGATGGCCTGACCCAAAAGGGGGGCACAAAGCCACAGAGCCTTGAGAGATGACTGGGTGCCTTCTTTGTCCTCATTAGATGTACATTCCTGCATGAAAAAGACCTTGACCAGTCTGGACTTCAAAAAAGTAAAACAAAAACACATAAAATTATGCTTCTGTGAAAGATACTGAAATAAAATATTATAAATAGCCAAAAAGAACAATAAATAGGTGTAATGGCAAGCACTCTGCCTGGTCATTGTGTTTCCTCTGTTATATTACAAACTGTAGCGCAAGGCATCCATGTGGACCAGGAATCCTCTGGCCTCCATCATTCAGTGTGTCCTTCCCACAGCTTTGCACATCGTCTTTCTCATACCCCAGGACTGGAACCTTGATTTTCATGAGGAGGGGAATTAGCAACAGCATAGATGAAATTAGCTCACAGTTTTGCACAAGCCACTCTTAATCATTTGAAACAAACGAAAAAAAATTATAATGGAACAACCATCGTGGTGCCAAAATACAAGTTAGACATTTTGTTCCATTTTATAGGGTTGGAGATGGGGGCAGGGAAAGGCATCTTTATTAGGAACAAACTTGTTTTAAAAATCTCCTTTGCCAGCGTGGATATGCAGAATAGAGAGC